TTTTCCCCTTCCCCTTCCCCCATCTCAGTTTCTTTTCTTTTTAAAGAATAAGTTTTGTCTGTTGTTCTTTGGCAGAGCTAAAATAGTGATAGTTCTGGGTCCGTAAGATAGCTCAGCGGTCTAATGTGCCTACTTAAGCAAGCTTAGGCAAGTGCAGGGGACTGTGGTTCAATCCCATAAATAAACAAATAAAATAGTGATAGACCAATGTAGTAAGATATGTGTGAGTCAATTAACATGTAAGATCTTAAAAATAGACTTTCCAGGTATGTGCAGTGACCTCATAAATATTAACTGATTCTTGCAAAATATACTGTAATCCTATTTTAGAGTCTCTTTCAACTCCAGAGTTACAAAATTTGTTCTAAATGACAAAAATATATTCTATGCCAAGAATGTAGAGAAATTAGAACCCTTACATACTGTGGGAATATAAAAAGGTACAGCCCCTATGGAAACCAGTATGGTTATCAGTAGTCCCACATGATACTTGTCTAAAAGAATTCAAAGCAAGCCAGGTGGGTTGTGCATGCCTGTAATAGCACTCTGGAAGCTAAGGCAGGAGCATCTCAAGAACAAACCCAGCAAAGGCAATTTAGCAACTTAATGAGACCCTGTCTCAAAATAAAAAATAAAAAACAGCTGTAGATGTAAATCAGTGCAGAAGCCCTGACCACCAAAAAATAAATAAATAAATAAAAATAAAAATAAAAAAGTATATGTGTGTGTGTTCATAGTAAGATCTTGAAAAAATATTTGATTTGCACAGTCATATTCACAGCATTATTCACAATAGCCAGTAAATAGACATAATCCAAATGTCCACTGACCCAACTAATGAGTGAATAGACAAAATATATATACATACAGTGGCATATTCAGCCTTAAAAGGAAAACACTTGTGTCATGTGCCACAATCTGGGTGAACCATGAGGATATTGTGCTAAGTAAAATAAACCAGTTACAGAAAGACAAATGCTATATGAGTCTATGCAAATGAGGCATCTAGCATAGGTAAATCTTGGAAAGTCTAATGGTAGGGCCAGGAGCTGGTGGTTGCTTATGTGGGGGAATTGTTATGTCTTATGTAGAAAGCTTTCCAGCATAAAGAAGTCCAGGAGATTTGCTGCAGGATAATGTGACTATATTTAACACTTTTGAACAGTACATTTAAAAATTAAGGTGATAAATTTTGTTATTGTTTCGGCCACAGTCCAATTTTTTCAAGTAGATTTGACTGTGAACTTTTTTGTTCTGCAGCACAGTGGACTTCATTGGAAGATGCTATTTCACCGAAATCTGCAAGTGTAAACTGAAGGACATCGCGTGTTTAAAATGGTAATTGGTGGCAATATTCTCAATAGCCTCAGTCTGGAAGATGGATGTTGATGCCACAGCCCAGAGAAAGGTTCAGTGGGCTGCAACGAACACTGATCTAACCCATGCAGCGAGCCATTGCAAAACCATTTGTTACCTAGAGCTATTTTTTTTTTAAAGAGTCTTGTAATACTTCACATTTGTATATGATTTTGTAATTTTCAAAATGTACTCATAGTTATCTGAATTTTTCCTCCCAGAATAAGATAGTCGGGGGTGAGGGGACCACAGCACAGGAATTATAGTCATAAAAGTCAAAGTTGAGCCCTGGCCCATCCTTTACTGTCTATACAATCTTACATAAATTCCTTAAACCTCCAAACCTCTGAACTTTTGTTTCCTTGTTGAATTTTTTATCTTATTAATAGGTAATAAAATGTCTTCTGTATTTACCCTATAAAGTTCTTGTGAAGAGGACATGAATTATGAATGTTAAAGACTGATAAACTATAAATAAAACATAGATGAGAACTTATTGCTATTATCTTTTGAAAGGTAGGCAGCTTTGTGTTATTCCCATTCTAGAATAGTTAAAATTTTCTCACTTGAATGAAATTTGGGTTACAAATTGTAATTCTAATTATTTAAACCATCAAACTATTATGTGTTAGCAACTATTTGAATTCCTTCATTCAAGCTATACTTACATTGAAGACCTACAGGTAGGTACAAGCCATTGTTATAGTTCACCGATGGCAAATCCCTTAGACGTAAGGGCCTAAACTGTAACCCCAAATTCTCTTATTTACTGCAAAGTGAAAACACAGCGATTAAACTTGAATACTGTGTTTTTAGTTTAGAAAACCACTATTATTCAGTGCTCCGCTGCTGGGCCTGCTGACCCTGAGGGTTCTTCATGCCGTGTGCCACAAGTTTGCCACTGCTGTTGTAGGGATGAATAGGAGGGCACTTGTGAGCAAAAATGTCATTGACATTGGAATGTGATACTCTAGTGGGCAAATGGTCACAGTCAGTATTGTACTTAAGTAGGATGTTTAATATAGTGAGAAGTACTCCAAAGGAAATA